CAGCAACTGAGGCTGTGGATCCTGGCCCACAGGGGTCTTCATGCTGGTGGCTGGGGGCATCGTGGCCGGGATCTTCCTGATTTTCATTGAGATTGCCTACAAGCGGCACAAGGACGCCCGCCGGAAGCAGATGCAGCTGGCTTTTGCAGCAGTGAACGTGTGGAGGAAGAACCTGCAGGTAGGGCAGGCCACCCTCCGAGGCCTGGTGCCCAGGGCCCGGCCTGGCCACGGCCCTCCTCCATCCCCGAAGGCCGTGGCACTGGCTCTGGCTCCGGTGGGCAGGACTGGAGCTAGGAGCCATGGCCAGGGGCAATGGTGAGTGCTCCCAGGGCACGGGGGCAGCACTGGTGGGGGGCTGCCTGCAGGTGGCTGCCCACTGCAAAGCCGGGGCCGAGGGAGGCCACGCACCCTGCTCCAAGCCTCCGCCTGGCCCCTCTGTCTCCAGAGTCGCCCGCCGGTACCCATTCCATAGGAAGGCAATCAGGCAGGGTAAGACAGGGGCCCGCTTGTGTATGGCACGTGAGTCCAAGATGCATTTTGCCCTCCGCCGACCCAAGCCCCCTTGACACCCTTCGGAGACCCCCTTCCTGCGGTCCTTGTGCTCCGTGACTCTGATCCGAATTGGGCCAGGCCTGGTCCTGCCTGGTGGCCAGGTTGCATCCATGAAAATTTGCCGCCAGCAAGGGCAGCCACGGCCCACCTGGGACAGGGTGGGTAGTGGGCCTGTGCAGGCCTCAGGGCCTGTGGCTGCGGTCGAGTTCCCGTTCACTCCATCTCTTCTCTTTCTCTGGGTGCGGTCCTGGAGCCTGTGTCCTGAGATGAAGCTGACATTGCAGCCAGGGCTGCTGGGGGAGGGGGTTGTTGCAGCCCCACACCTCTCATCTGCCCACTCTTGCTCTTGGCCCCACAGGTCCCCTGGGGACCTGGCTGCTGCCACCACTGGCCGGCACAGGCCACTTGGCCATCAGACCTGAGGCCAGAGTCCCGGGAGCTGCCTCTGTCACTCCAATTCCACCTCGATACCTGCCTCCGGCCCTCGGCCCCTTCCTGAATCTTGGTGTGTGCCCCTTGGGGGTCAGTGGTCTCCACGCAAGCAGCTGGCGTGGCCTGAGGGGCAACTCCTCCAGTCCCTCAGAGGACTCCTCCTCCTCGGGACGCCTGTAAGCCAGGGCCACCCAGGAGCCAGGGAGCCAGGCGGACCTCCCAGGAAGAGCCAGCCGAGATTCCCCCAGCCCAGTCCCAGCATGAGCAAGGTCAGGCCCGAGACCCCGGGCAGGAGAAGCGGCCACCCTCGAACGTCCACTGTCGGCCCATCTGTCCAGCACAGGGAGGCAGGCAGGAGCGAGGGCCCAAGTGGCCGGCCAGGCTGGGCAGCGGCCCACCCAGGAGCAGGCGAGGGCAGGTGTGGCCACCACCCTAGCCGTCTAATCACTTATACATATTCATTTTAGGATAGAAAGAGTGGTAGAGCAGAGCCTGACCCTAAAAAGAAAGCCACATTTAGGGCTATCACCTCCACCCTGGCTTCCAGCTTCAAGAGGCGTAGGTCCTCCAAAGACACGGTAAGGGGGAGAGCACCCCAGTCCCGCGTCCGACTCCACCTGCCCCTGCCCTGCGTGTGTCTCCCGCCCCATCACCCCCCTGGCCCCGGGCTCCTGCGGCCCACTCTGCCCGTCTGCCCTGGCGGCCGCTCTGCCCAGCCCGCCCGTGTGGTGCTCTCTCTCTCTGGCCCTCTCTCCCGGCCCTCCTGGGTCTTCGGCTTTCCCCGTGTGTCTCCGTTAGTCCGCCTGCCCGCCTCCCTGCCATGACCCACACGCCATCTTGAAGCTGTCATGTCGTTGGTCAGTCAGTCAGCCACGCCACCTCTCGGGGCCAGGCCTGGGGCCCTGGGAGCCCAGCTCGGCCCCATCCTGGACTCCTCAGCCGCCAGGAGGCCACGTCACTTCTGTTATGTCCCCGTTTCTCTTGCCTCTCCCAGAGGGGCCCGCCGCCCTCACTTCGCCCCTGCGACGGCCCTGGAGGGGGTGGCTGTGATGTCCCATCCCGTCCGTCTGTCTGGCCACTGGCCCCGCCCCCCAGACACCTGTCTCACCTGTCTCACCAGAGCCATGCGTGTCGCATCTTCCATGTGGTCTCTGTGTGGGCCGGGGGCTGGGGGCCGGGCCTGGGTCCATCTGGGTGGATGGCTGGGGCCTGGATTTGGAACTGGCCCCGGCCACAGGGGCCTATCAGGCAGGGAGTGGGGTGGGACCAGAAGGGGTGGCACCCACCCCAGGCTGAGCAGGGGCCCCGCAGGAGTGTGGCGGCAGCTCCCAGAGGGTCTGAGAACTGGTAGGGGCTGCCCCACAAGCCCTGGCCTGCAGACACAGAGGGTCCCAGACAGGGAGGCCTCTGGAAGGGAGACGACCCTTCCAGACCCAGTTGCTGACCCCAGCCACCCCACAGGGCCCACCCCACAGAGCCAGACCTTCTGCCCTTTGGAGCTCAGAATTCTCCTACCTCCTGCTTGGAGCAGCTGTGGCTGTGCAGGAGACACACACTCCGACCCGAGGCCCCACAGCAGACCCAGCCTTGCTAGCGGCACCCTAGGCCCAGGCAGCATGGTGGGGAGGGGCTCTGCCCAGAAAGCCTCAGCCCAGTGGCCACCCTGAAGTCCAGGGGTCAGTCTGGCCCACAGGAAGCCCCCCAGCCTGTAGGCAGCATCACCACAAAGCTTAAGCCCCGTGAGGAAGTGGGATTTGCAGTCACCCGCCCCTCAGTGCCCTGGAAGCGGGGCAGGACTGCAGGGCACAGACAGGACTTGGCATGCAGCAACCCAAGTCCTAAGGTGAAGCCACCAGGGTGCCCCACGAGGGACCCTGAGGCCTGGCGGCCCAGCCTCCTGGGAAAGGGACTTGGCATGCAGGATGGGTGGACAGTGAGAGCCTGTAGGGCTGGGATCCACTGGAAGCTCAAGGAGCAGGTGGAAGCACCATTCCCGGGGCCACCCATACCCTGGAAAGCGGGCAAAGCCAATGCTGCAGAGTCTGAGCCAGGAGTCCCGCTAGGGGGCGCAGGGAGCGGGGGGGCGGGGGGGTGCACAGCGCAGGGACCGTGGGCTGGGCAGGCTGGGGGAGAGCGGGTGTCCAGGGAAGAGCAGACAGGAGAAGCCGCAATTTGGGACAGGCAGCCACGGGGGGACAAGCACAAACGTCTTGCAGGTGATGGGTCACTTTCAGAGGGTGACACTGGGTCCCAGGGCCCTGCCTGGAGCTGGGCCAGGTGCAGCTCAGAGATCCTCATGGCGCCCTCCCAGGGACATGCTCCCAGCGGAACCCTCACCCGAGCCTCCCTGGACACCAGGGACCGTCCTCTGGGGCCAGCCCTGGCATCACGTGGCATCTGGGGCTGGCCCCACCCTTCGAGGCTGAACTGTGGGGGGCACTGCCAGCTGGGGGTCTGGGCAGGGGAGGGCAGCCGAGCTCCCACCTGGTCTCTGGGACTGTGAGCTTGTTCAGAGGGAGGCCTGGGTGGGGGGCTCCTTCGGGCAGGGTGGGGTCAGTCCGGCTGCGGAGATCCTCTGCCCCGTCCTGTGGCCAGTCCAGGCCAGGGCGGCACTGGGCGCTGAGGGCTGGGGTCCCTGGCGGCCGGCGGGGCCAGCGGGTATTGATTGTTGGTTCTTATTTATAGAGCACCGGGGGTGGACGCGGCGCTTTGCAAAACCAAAAAGACACAGTGCTGCCGCGACGCGCTATTGAGAGGGAGGAGGGCCAGCTGCAGCTGTGTTCCCGTCATAGGGAGAGCTGAGACTCCCCGCCCGCCCTCCTCTGCCCCCTCCCCCGCAGACAGACAGACAGACGGACGGGACAGCGGCCCGGCCCACGCAGAGCCCCGGAGCACCACGGGGTCGGGGGAGGAGCACCCCCAGCCTCCCCCAGGCTGCGCCCGCCCGCCCGCTGGTTGGCCGGCTGGCCGGCCCACCCCGTCCCGGCCCCGCGCGTGCCCCCGGTGTGGGGCTAACGGGCGCCTTGTCTGTGTATTTCTATTTTGCAGCAGTACCATCCCACTGATATCACGGGCCCGCTCAACCTCTCAGATCCCTCGGTCAGCACCGTGGTGTGAGGCCCCCGGAGGCGCCCACCTGCCCAGTTAGCCCGGCCAAGGACACTGATGGGTCCTGCTGCTCGGGAAGGCCTGAGGGAAGCCCACCCACCCCAGAGACTGCCCACCCTGGGCCTCCCGTCCGTCCGCCTGCCTGCCCGCCCCGCTGCCTGGCGGGCAGCCCCTGCTGGACCAAGGTGCGGACCGGCGCGGCTGAGGAAGGGGCAGAGCTCAGTCGGCTGGGCAGGGCCGCAGGGCGCTCCGGCAGAGGCAGGGCCCTGGGGTCTCTGAGCAGTGGGGAGAGGGGGCTACGTGGCCCCAGGCGGAGGGGCTTGGAGCAGAGACGGCAGCTCCATCCTTCCCGCAGCACCAGCCTGAGCCACAGCGGGGCCCACGGCCCCAGCTGGCGGGGTCAGCCCTCCTCGGGCGCAAGCGCCCCTCCACAGCCTGAGCCCCACCCTCCCCTCTTCTTGCGGTACCGCCCACCCACGCCCGGTCTGCCCCTTGACCCTCCACGCCGGGGCTGGCCCTGCCCTCCCCCTATGGCCGTCCCTGACTTCCCGGCCGGCAGCGCCTCCCGGAGGCGCTCGGGCTCCCGCCGCCTCCGCCTCCTTCTCCGGACTCGAGAGGGCCGACCCCCTCGTCTCCTCGTCCGGCCTGCGGCCCGGAACGGGCTTCCCCGAACGCTGGTTCGGGACTGTCTTCCACCCTGCCCTGCACCTCGGGCACAGGAGAGCGCCACCCGCCCGCCCCCGCCCTCGCTCCGGGTGCGTGCCCGGCCCGCCACTTTGTACAGGACCAGCACTCCCAGGGCCCGAGCGCGTGCCTTCCCCGTGCGGCCCATGCGCGGCGCGCTCTGCCCCTCCACCCCCCACCTCCCGGTGTATGCAGTGGTGATGCCTAAAGGAATGTCACGCAGGTTTCGGTCTGTGTCGCTTGTTGACTCCGACAGAGGCTAAAGGGAGGGCAAAGGCGTTGGGGAAGAAGCTTCCGGCGCGCCAGGCGGCCCCGGCTGCTCAGGCTCGGGCGGCGGCGGGGATCCCCGGGTCCGCGGGCGAGACCGAGCAGTGGGGGTCGGGATCGGAGTCCGGGTCCCGCGGTCTCCTCGGCCGGCGGAGGGCAGCGGCGCGGCGGCGGCGGCGTGCGCTGCAGACGGTGAGCACGCAGCCCAGCGCCAGGCAGGCGGCCACGCTGGCGAGGAAGGAGGCCGGCCCGAGCGCGTAGACCACCGCCAGGTCCCGCAGGGCGAGCGGCTGCGCGCAGCGGCGGAAGGCGGCGTCGGGGAAGGCGGTCAGCGGGCTGAGCGTCAGGCGTCCCGGCCACACGCATTGCGCCGCCTCGGCCTCTGCGGGACACGGACACAGGCGCGGCGTCAGGTGGTGGCCGCCCCGCCCCGCAGACCCCGACCCGCGTCCCGGACAGCTCACCTGACGTGGGCAGCGGGTGCCGGCGCAGCCAGGCGCACAGCGGGCGCAGCGCGCAGCCGCAGGCCCAGGGGTTGCCGTGCAGGTGCAGCGCGTCTAGGGCGGGCAGGCGGGCCAGCAGCCCCGGCGCAAGTGCCGCCAGCGCGTTGTCCTGCAGGCTGAGTGAGCGCAGCAGCGGGAGCGCGCCCAGCGCCGCGGGCTCCAGGCGCGCCAGCCGGTTGCCGGCCAGAGAGAGGGTGCGCAGCGCGCGCAGCGGCGCGAAGGTCCCGGGTGCCAGCGCTTCCAACTGGTTGGCGCTCAGGTCCAGCAGCTGCAGCGCGCCCAGGCCCCAGAAGGCTCGCACGTGCACCGAGTGCAGCCCGTTCTCGCGCAGGTCCAGGCGCTGCAGCGCGCCAGCTCCTGCGAAGGCACCGGGCGGCAGCGCGCGGAGGTGGTTGTGGTCCAGCAGCAGCTCGCGGAGGCGCAGGCTCAGGCCCGCGGGCACGGCGGGCAGCGCGAGTGCAGAGCAGGTGGCCAGGCCGCCCGGCTCGCACGTGCACCCCTCGGGGCAGTCGCGGGCGCCTGGGGACCCGGAGGGCGAGGCCGTGGCCGACACCTGGGCCCAGACAGGCCAAGGCGACAGCGGCAGCAGAAGCAGCAGCAGCAGCGGCAGCAGCGGCGGCGTCGGCGGCCGAGGCCGCGACCAGGAGGGGCTCCGCATGGGGGCAGACCCCGGCACCCGCGAGGGGAGGCCCGCTGCCTGTGCGTCCCCGGAGCTCGTCGTCCGCGGAGCGCGTTCCTGCGGCGCCTGCACAAATATTCTCTGGCGCGAGTGCAGGCTGTTCCTGTCCCACGGCTGGGTCCACGCCTGGGGCGGGGGCGGGGCAAACAGCCAACGCCCGGCACCGCGGGCCACCTGTCCCGCAGCTCCAGACTGCTCTTGGCACGGCGCCGGCCACAGCGCTATCGGGACCACCTCGCCCCCGCCTGGTTCACTACCAGGCGCCCGCCGAGCCCTGAGCAGCAGGACGCCGCCCACCCGCACCCGCCGACCTCACAGCTGCGACCGGCGCCCACACGCAACGCAGCCCAGAGGTCCTGCTCCTCACCGGCGTCGGCCCCACTCGGCAGAGTGAGCCCAGTGTGCACGTGCTGAGTAGCTCCACGCAGGGACGGTCCGTTCCCATGGTTGATGGGGCCTGAACTGGACACAGGCCTTGGGATGTAGGGGACAGCACACCCAGGCAGGAGAGGATGCCCCCCCAGGACTCTTCTGGACCGTCTGGGGCGCTGCCAGTGGAGTGCGGGAGGGGCATCAGCCCAAGTCCTGTTAAACGCAGCGGCCTCCGGAGCTGCCAGTTGCAGGTCCTGTTCTAGGGGCTTTCAAAAGCGGGGTGCAGGGAGGAGCCGGGCTGACCAGCTGTGGCAGAGGAGGTAGAAACACATTAGGGGTGTGGTTTCCTGCCCTAGGGCAGAGGAACAGGGAACCTGGGGTGGGCCTGGGCGCCCACTTTGGTGAGACCCATAGACGAGTGCACCCCCCACGATGCAGCCTTGAGGGGTGTGAGCGCCTGCAGGGAGGACAGTGCACAACCACTAAATACGGTTTATTTCCCCTCCTCCGGCTGCCTCAGCCCTACTCAGGTGGTAGGGGTGGGGGTGGCGGCGGCTCCTCTGGAGTAGCCTCCATGGGGATGGCCACAAGGCTCTCATCCTCCAGTGGGGGCATCACGGAGACCTCCAGGTCAGTGTCCAAGAGCTGGGACTCCACATAGACTGGATGCAGGTCCATGCGATCTTCCTGGACCCCAAAATTCTCCACCAACCTGCATGACGGGCTGGGTCAGCACAGGCTGGTGGGGCCCGACCCTCCCCACCCAGAGCAGGCCGGCATGTGGGACAGTGCTCCCCCAAGGCCTCCCCTGGGACAGCACCACTCCCACAGGGCCCTCCCTGGGACAGCCCCCACACAGGGTCTCCCCTGGGACAGCTTCCCCCTTGAGGGCCTCCCCTGGGACAGCCCCCACACAGGGCCTCCCCTGGGACAGTGACCCCCTCAAGGACCTCCCCTTAGACAGCACCACCCCTGGGCCTCCCCTGGGACAGCGCACCCCCCCAGGACCTCCCCTGTGACAGTGTGACCCCCCCAGTTCCTCTCTGGGGACAGCACACCCCCCCCCCCCAGGGCCTTCCCAGGGCTCACCTGTTGTTCACTAGTCTCGGGCATGTTTCACTGAGGGAATGAAGGCCACCATGAGTCCTGGAGGAGTGCTGGGCCCCGGACCCCCACCAGCACACGCCTGGGAAACACCGTCCCTACCCCAGGTGACATCCCACCCAGGGGGCAAAGGCCCCTCCTGCAAGACCAAGGGTCCAGGTTGGAAAGCCTGGCCTCGCTCCCACCCACTCCTGGCCCAGGGGTTCACGCACCCCTTGGCCCGCAAGACGCCAATTGCCACGATGACGAGGGCACAGAAGCAGCTGGCACTGACGCCCGCCAGCACCACGAGGAGGGCGATGAGGGCCTCGCGGCTGAGGCCAAGGCTGCATTCACAGTAGGTTCCCGCTGCAGAGACAGGGCCACAGGGCCATGGGGCCGGTCACCTGCCTGAGGAGGGCCCACAGGTCTGCCCCTGCCCTGGTGGCCCCAGAAGGACACCAGTGCTCCTGCCTTGCCTGGGAAAGGGGAACCCTGGCTGGGTGTGGGGCGCAGGGGCAGGAGGCAGTACCTGCAGCAGGAATGAGCAGAAGGGAGACACATGTGAGGCCCAGGGGGCTGCCACACAGGCAGGACCGAGGCCGGAGACCGGGGGCCATGTCCAGCCTTGGCCACTGCCCACCTCTGACGGAACTGTCGGAAGCTGCTGACTTCACAGTGGGCCTGTGAGGTGAGGGTGGGGGGGGGCAGGGCCTCACGGTGCCTGAAGCCAGTGTTTCACTTGCCCCTGGGCACTGCGATTCTGGGAGCCATGGACAGCCTGCCCTGGGAACAGGACAGGTAGGGTGAACAGGTGCTGGAGACACAGGCAGCAGTGGGGTTGGCCTGGTCTGAGGGGCAGTCCCTCACAGTGAAACAGAGTTGGCAGCACTGCAGGCCCTGTGTGGGTGCAGTGGCCTGGCAACCTCGGAGGGCTGGCAGCAGGTAGCCTCGGCCTCAGCTCCCTCCCAGCTTAAGGGTTTCAGCAGGGGCAGGACAGGACCAAGGAGGGCTCAGGTGCTGGGCTTGCACCCAGCCTCCCTCCCCACTGCTTCTGGGAGGGTCTGGCTCATGCTCCTGGCAAAGCTCTGGTCAGGAGGGCTGCTGGCACCCAAGGGATTCCCCCATCAACTTGAAAAGGTCTGGGGGATACTGGCTACCGCTGTCTGAGCAGGACAATAAGCCATGCCTCCCACAGCATCCCCCGTACAAGGCTCTAGACTAAAGGTGTCATGGAAGTTGGAGCCCCCAGGGACTGTTCCCTCTGCAGAACAGGCAAGCATTGCCCAAGGAAGTTCGTTGCAGGCCGGCATGGCCAGGGTTAAGCTCAGCCTCCTTCCTGAACCTGCTGTTCCAGGCTGGGAGAGAGGCCCCTGCCCTCCCAGCCTCCCCTCCTCAGGACCTGCCAAGCAAACTGCCAGGCAGCTGAAGGAAACACCTGCCCCACAGCCAACCAAGGCTGGGCCTCCTGCCAGCTCAGGACCCATAGGGCGTGGGGGGCGGGGGGCACAGCCTGCCCCCAGTGGCCCTGGTCACCGGGGACCCAGTCGCCTGTTGTCAGGCACCCTCCTGCTGGGGTCCTCCAACCTCTGACTTGCTGAGTGATGCCGTGACCTGAGGTGTCCCCTTCACCCTTGTCTTCAGGACACATCCAGAGATGGAAGCCACAAGACAAAGAACAAAAAGGTGTGCCCCAGCCAAGCTGGCAGTGACACCCGCCAGGCCAGCCCGGCAGGTCTGTATCCTGGTTAGGACACTGGCACGCCCAGCCTGGGGCCAGGTGGTGGCCATGGACAGTGGGATCCAGGCCAGGCCACCGCCTGACGGGACAGTGGGCGTCACAGAAGTGGGCCCCCCATTACAATTCAGGAGAAAGGGCCCCTCTTTTTGTGAGACAGCCTTGGAGTAGAGTAGGTAGTAGGGACCAGGGCAAGAGGGGAGGTACCGCATGAGCAGAACCAGCCGTCCTTGGCGGGTCTGAGGGCTGACGGTCAGAAGCTGACGGTCAAGGGCTGACGGTCAGGGGCCTGAGGGTCAGGGGCTGACGGTCAGGGGCTGAGGGTCAGGAGCCTGAGGGTCAAGGGCTGAGGGTCAGTGCTGAGGGCCAGGGGCTGAGGGTCAGGGGCTGAGGGTCAGAGGCTGACAGTTGATGGTCAGGGCCTGAGGGTCAGGGGCTGAGGGTCAGGGGCTGACAGTTGAGGGTCAGGGCCTGATGGTCAGGGGTTGAGGGTCAGGGGCTGAGGGCCAGGGGCTGACAGTTGAGGGTCAGGGCCTGAGGGTCAGGAGCTGAGGGTCAGGGGCTGTGCATCTAGCGCCTGCCTAATGCTGGCCACTTCCTCCTTCAAGCAGGCAGAGTTCTTTAGAGCAGGAAGGGTGCAGAAATGGAGCCTGCTGGCTCAAACAGGCCAGAGCTGGAGAGTGGGGGAGGGTGCTGGGCGGTGGCTGCAGGAACCCAGGACGGTGGATATGTAGGCACCAGCAAGGGCATCTGGGGACGGCGGGGGAAGGTGCTGCAGCAGGAGCGGGACTCCAGGCACCAGTTTCAAACCGCCTTTGTCCCCTGCAAGGACGGTGCCATGAGGTGGAACGCGGCCGCCCTGGAAACAGCCCCTGTGGGACAGAGGCCCAGGCTTTAGCAGAAGAGCCCAGAGCCAGACCCCAGGGCCCTCGCTCAGCCTGATGGCATCTCCCTCTCCCAGGGCAGCCTCTTGGACAGGACCTGGGCAGCCTGCACATGCGTGGCGGCACGTGCGGGGGTCGCAGGGGTGGGTGATCCGCCTTCCGAGGCATAATTGTGAGCCTGAGTGCTGCGGCCACCCTGCCCAAGTGTGGAGCAGGGGACAAGCACCCAGTCCCCCCGGCCAGCAGGGCAGGCCCTGGGAGCAGAGCCTCGCTGCTGGAGAGGAGGAACGCTGGCCAAACGCTGGCCAAGGGGTCATCCACGAGCCCAGCAGTTCCAACAGAAACTGTGAAACACCCTAGCCTCCTCCCAGACCCCCAGCCTCGCCCCACACAGCCTCCCAGCCTGGCACCTGGGAGTGGGCACCGGCTGAGCAGAGGGTAACGCCAGGGCTCCTTCCAAAGGCCACAGGCGCAGGGTGGAGCCGGAGGTCCGGCAGGTGGCACCAAGACCTGGGACGTGGCTGCCTGACCCGTGGCCCAGGTGTGACGTGAGCCTTCATGCGCCACTTTCCGCCCAAGCCAGGGGCGGCCCAAGATGCTCTCAGAGGGCCACATTCCTGCTGCAGATGTGCAGGCCTGGGTGGGCCCCCCACTTGCTGCGGGGGAGCAGACCCTGCCAGGCTGAGGTGGAAAGGCCCAGGCTAGCGGGAGACCCCAGGGGCCCCACAAAGCCACCAGGACAGGAAAGGATGACCTGACTGCTTTAATCGGCACGCTGTGGGGTGGGGATGGGGTGCCCCTGAGCGGTGCCTTCTGGGACACACGCGGGTGGGGGCTGGCACGGGAGAAGGAGAGCACCTGCAGGGCGGGGCCGGGCGGAGGGGCGGGGCCGGGCGCGTCAGCCGCAGTTCTTGGGCAGGCGGTAGACGCCCGCCGAGTAGACGAGCTGCTGGTCCCGCACCTTCTTCTGCAGGTAGCTCTGCAGCTCCTGCAGGTCGATCTCGGCCAGCGCGGGCCCGGTCACCACGAACATGCGCAGCATGTTGTAGATGCGCTCCAGCGAGAGGCTCTCCAGGTTGGTCAGCATGGCCTGGATGTAGGTCCAGAAGAGCTGCGCGCACAAGCCAGCCCCCGTCAGGCGCAGGCAGGCCCCCCCGCCCCGCCCCGCCCCGCCCCCAACCCGCGGGCCCGGCACGCGCACCAGCAGCTCCTCCTCCTTCTGGTCGGCCTGGGAGGCCATGCCCGAGTCGCTCTCGTCGTCGCTGTCGATGAGCACCATGCTGTCCCTGTCCTGAGGCCGCTCCTCCTCGATGACAGAGAAGGTGCCGGGGGGCTCCTCGCGCAGCACGCCCTGCTGCAGCCACACAGACATCCTCCGCCGCAGCAGTGCCACGGGCATCTTCACCACCTTGCTCAGCTCCTCCAGGGTCCAGCTGGCTGCGTGAAGAGCAACCAAGACCCTGGGCAGCCTGCGACGGGCCGCAGAGGTCGGGGGTCCAGACCCCCCTGCCTTGCCCGTGGGAAAAGTAAGGGTGCTGCCTACTGGCTTGGCTGCCCCAGACCACACCCTCACTGGGGAGCAGCCCCTCACCCACAGCAGGGCCGTGGGGCCAGGGCAGACCAGCTGGGGGCCGGTGGACTGACCTTGGTCCTGAAAGTACAGCAGAACCACTGCCTGTACCGGGGTGACTGCCACAGACAGCGTGCGGTCGGCCAGCTCCACGTCCATGGTCACCAGGCCCAGAGTGTGCTTCCAGCTGAGGGTCCGCATGGCCTAAGGAGGGCTAGGGTCAGTGTGGGCAGCTCAGCCTCAGGGGGCCCAGGCTCACGGGCTCTGCCACCTGGAACTGGGTGAGGAAGGGCTCTCAGAGCCGCCTGCCCCCAGCAGAGAGGTGAGCAGCAGGGGCACAGAACTGGGTGGGCCCCACCTGCTCAGCCACCACAAAACAACGGGGCCGGTGTCACAAGCTATGTCCTGGAAAAGCTGTGTGTACACCCTAACCCCCCATGCTTGGAAACGGACTACACTGCCAAACAGGGCGGATGAGGTCACACTGGTGTGGGTGCAGCCTAACCCAACTGACGGGCGTCCTTCTAAGGAAAGGATGACGGTAGACACAGGGGGCGGGAGGGGCCCCTGAGGACAGGCTGGCTGGAGCTACACGGCCACAAGCCAGGAAATCGAAAGGGGGGCGAAAAACGCCGGAAGCTGGAGAGCAGCAGGGTCTCTGAGGTTCCCGGGGGAGCGGGGCCCTGCCAATACCTTCATCTTGACTTCCAGCCCCCAGAACCAAGGCAGTCTATTTCTGTTTTTCTAAAGCCACCCAGTTTGTGACACTGTTACAGCAGCCACAAGAAATGAACAGATCTTGATACCAGAAAGGGCGCTGCTGAAACGGGACTCCAGCAATGCCCCCTAACAGGTGCTTCTGGTAAGTCTCGGGCGGAGTGAGCGCCTGCTGTGGCTGGAGGAGGCCGCAGAGAGCCTGGCAGGCCGGTGTTCCGCTGCTGGGTGGAAAGTGGGGCTGCAGCTGACAAGCCTGGATGCTCAGCCGAGCTCTCCAGGCAGCGTGGAAGCTGTGGCCTGGCTTCTTGCCACTTATGAGCAGAATGCAAGAGGGAAAAATCAGTGAGGACGGAAACATTAAGCAAAAAGGCACCAGCCCCTGGAGATTTGAAAAATGCTCCGAGGATCCAGGAGCTCTGAGACAGGGCTAAGGCTGCGCTGGACCAGGATTTGCGAGATGAGGCGTGATCTGTGCGTCCAACATCTCAGCAGGAGACGGGCAGCTGGGGCTCTGGGAAAGGGCTGCAGACCCTCATCTGAGGGCCCTGGACGTTGGTGAGCTGCACGAGACAGAAGCCAACGAGGTCTGTGAGACTTTCACCAGCAGACACGCTGCCAGGCTGGACTGAGAGGCAGGCAGGCTCCAAGCACAGAGCCACAGATGCAGAGGCCGAGGCTGGCGGGGTGAGGCTGCCCGCACAGGCCGAGGACGAAGCCCTGAGCCCAGGATTCGCAGGCCGCGACACCAAATGCAATTCGGTGGCTGCATTTGGACTCGGGGTGACCTGCCACCCTTTCTGCTTCCGGTGTTCCCTGTTGGGGTGGGAATATCTATTCTATGCATCTTACCGCTGAATTTTTGAAACAGTGTCTGTTGCCTGATTTCACAGCATCCCAGCTGGAGAGGAACAGACACACCCCAAGTCTCACCTGGACCTCATTTAGATGCTGTTTACATGCTGAGATGTGGAACTTCGTGTGGATGGTATTTAGATAAGATTTTGGACTTGGACTTGAGGCTGAAATGGTGAGGACTTTTGGGGATAACCGTAACTTGCATGTGGGAGGGCACTGCCACGGGGCAGACTGGTATGTTACATGCCCCTCCGAAAAAGACACATGAACTGCTAACTCCCTGAACCCCTGGATGTGATCTAATTTGGAAATATGGTCATTAAAGATATAATTAAGATGAAGTCGCCGGGCGCAGTGGCTCAAGCCTGTAATCCCAGCACTTTGGGAGGCCGAGGCGGGTGGATCACGAGGTCAAGAGATCGAGACCATCCTGGTCAACATGGTGAAACCCCATCTCTACTAAAAATACAAAAAATTAGCTGGGCATGGTGGCACGTGCCTGTAATCCCAGCTACTCAGGAGGCTGAGGCAGGAGAGTTGCCCGAACCCAGGAGGCGGAGGTTGCGGTGAGCTGAGATCACGCCATTGCACTCCAGCCTGGGCAACAAGAGCGAAACTCCGTCTCAAAAAAAAAAAAAAAAAAAAAAAGACGAAGTCACCCTGGAGTAGAGCGAGTGTCCAAGAGGGGGATACGAACAGAGAGCAGGGGAACATCCCGGGCGACACAGCCAAGACCAGACCGAGCCACCCACAGCCCTGGCGCTCCTGCAGCCCCCAGAAGCCGGCAGGGGCCAGGAAGCAGCCTCCCCCAGGGCCTCCGGAGGGCCCTGCCGACCCTGACCTCTAGAAGATACATTTCTGGTCTTTCAGGCCCCTTGGTTTGTGGCACTTTGTTCTGGTGGTCCCGGGGCACTGACACACCTGCTCTGTGGGCCACGGGCTCCTGAGCCCTTCCAGGATCTGGCAGCTCTTAAAGGAAACAAGCCCCACTTTATGGACAGAAGACGAAGTGGAGTCAGTGGTTGGCCTTGGTCCTGGCTCTGGCTCCAAGGCCGTGACCTCCACGAACGTCACTCATCAGCCTGCACCAGGACAGAAGGAGGGCTCAGGAGCAGCAAGCTCAGGTGCAGATGCTGAGGGCTGCACGCCAGCACGCGCCCAGCGAGGCCCCTAGGCCAGGAGCTCTGCTGGTGGGACCTCTCCGCACAGCTCGGCGCCTTCCTGAGCCATCCTGTGTCCCATGAAGTGAAGACAAAGGGCACTGGAGTGTGGCTGTCCCAGGACGTCAGGCCTGAGCAATGGGAAGTGGCTGAACCACGCTTGGGACCCCAGGGGGACCCTGGAGGGAGGCCAGGGGAGCCTCGCCCAGAAGTGGCACTGTAGAGCCTGAGGCAGCCAGAGGGTTGGTGGGAGACGGATGGAGCATGGAGCCCGGCCACACCGGTGACTTGTACGGAACACGGCGGGGCTTGGTGCCCACGGGCTCTGGAGACACAGGCTGGAGCTGGAAGCAGGGGCATGGCCAGGGCACTCCTTTCCACTGGGGCAAGCAAGCTGCGGGGGATACCTGGACTCTTCCAGAGCCAAGCTGAGGCCTGGAGGGAGGCAGCAGCCCGGCCCGACCTCCGCCTCCTGCCCTGGGGGCCTCTGCCTGGCCCTCCCCTGGTCTGTCTCTGCAAGGAAACTTCCCCCTTAGTTTCTAAAGTAGACTCATCACCCTGCCCTCCCTTAGGAATAAGGTTCCTTAGCCTGTCAACACAGCAGGGCCTCTCGCTTGGCAGGAAAGAAAAGGAAGCACATCTAGACCCAGCGCCTGTCACAGCAGGCCTGGAGAACCTGGGGACCCT